TGTGTAATGAGTGTGTGTGTGTGTGTGTGTGTGTGTGTGTAAATATTGAAATAATATTCTGTAAATAAATAAGTTTACAGCTAACAAAATAATTATTAATACACTACATACATATAAATGTTTTAAACATAAATAAATATAATTGAGTTTTTATATATATGTACATTTTTAAATGAATACATTTACAATTATTTAATAAAATATTACATATATAGTAAAATAATATATTGTTATTATATTTTCATTAACATACTATACTACTCTAATATACTGTATAATAGCTTTATATACTACTATGTTATTCCATAGTGTGAACACACGGTGGCGCTGTTCTCCTAAATATAAGGTCCATATAAGGTTTATACAGTAGACACAACCAGCAATGTTTGACATCAGGTGTGGATCTTTTGATGAAGCCAGAAGCATTAGCAGTCAGATGTGTTTGTTTGTTTGTTTGTTTGTCTCACCGAAGGCTTTCTTGGGCTCGACCAGGCGCAGGGTGAACGGCGCTCCTCTCAGCTGCTCCTTCAGCATCTTCGCCACTTCATAATGCCGACATCCCACAATGCTCTGGTCATTAATGGCCTCGATGTGATCGCCGACACACACCGTCTTTATTTGGTCAATGGTGCTGTCTTCCTTTATCCTCTAAAACAAAACATATGACATAATACGACAGTATAATAATATAATGTAATATATGTAGATATATTACATAATCATGTGAACTATAAATGTAAGTAAGGAGCGGTTTGAACGCATAAATGCTCACGTGATCCTTTAAACTTTCGACTCAAACTGTTTGGTTTCAGATAAAAATTATTTTTTCTCGGCTTGACCTCTGAGATAGTCCTGAAATGTCTTGATAACAGGTTCTTGAAGGATATTTTCTCCTGAAGGCTGTGTGATTTTTACAGTTCAGTGCTTTTGAAGAAAAGATTACGGATAAACCTGATCGGTTATGTAAGTTGATCTGGTGATATACAAGTAGCGACACATGACTAAAATACTTTTTATTTAGTAGTTTAGTAACAGTTACATTTTTATAGTTTATATAAATACTAAAGCTAATACATTTTTAAAAAAATCAGTATGTTCATATTAAAATCTATTCATAATCAATGATATTATTGTATTAACATACAAAGCTATTTATTTATTTACATAAGGATTAAGCTGACTGATAAAAATATACTTTCCAGAAAATTCTGGGCTCAGGCATATGAGAAAACATTTTGGTAGGTTCATTAAAAAATAATAATATATATATATATATATTAAGCAGTGTAATGTTAAAACACAAAATTAAAACATTGGAACTTTTGTTTTGTTTAATAGATTTTTTTTTATTATTATTATTGTTCAAGGCATTTTACTAAAGAAAAAAAATGTGTATATATATATTTTTTTTTTTTTTTTTTTTTAAATTGGGAAAGCTTTCTTGCTAGCATTCGCGAGTCTCCTTGTTAATATCCATTAAAATCTTTTTGTACTAGACTTAATCTGTAGCTAAAACGACTGGTATTAAATATTTTCAGCTTTACCGAACTATAAATGTAAGTAAGGAGCGGTTTGAACGCATAAATGCTCACGTGATCCTTTAAACTTTCGACTCAAACTGTTTGGTTTCAGATAAAAATTATTTTTTCTCGCCTTGACCTCTGAGATAGTCCTGAAATGTCTTGATAACAGGTTCTTGAAGGATATTTTCTCCTGAAGGCTGTGTGATTTTTACAGTTCAGTGCTTTTGAAGAAAAGATTACGGATAAACCTGATCGGTTATGTAAGTTGATCTGGTGATATACAAGTAGCGACACATGACTAAAATACTTTTTATTTAGTAGTTTAGTAACAGTTACATTTTTATAGTTTATATAAATACTAAAGCTAATACATTTTTAAAAAAATCAGTATGTTCATATTAAATTTTTTTTTTATTGTTTTAGATGTAGGAGAATATTTATTTTATTCATTTGTTTGTTTGTTTGTTTAAATTTACTAGCCACTGGCACATTTGAAAACATTTTAAATTTTTATTTATTATTTTTAATAACTAATTTGTTGATTTCATGTATTTATCATTTACTAGCCACTGACATATACAAAAACGTACTAACCATTGGCATATATTCAACATGTAACATTTAATTATTTCATTTATTTTTTATTTGTATTTATTTATTTATTGGCCCCTGGCATCAATTAAAATATTCATTTATTTGTTTATCTATCTATCTATCTATTTATCTATCTATCTATCTATCT